ACACTCTTCAAGTAGCTGCCTTGCACCACGGAGAATACCCAGTAAAAATAACCTGATACCAACTTTCTAGTATCATCGACTATTTTAGTGTTACAACATAGTGTTACAACTGAGGCAGTTTCAAATAGAATATTCAAGCCTAATCAGTAATACAGCTATTTAACGTGAACATATTCCATTACTCATTAATTAATAACCAAAAAGACAGAATAATTGCCACAGTGATCTGGAGTTTGTAGAGCCCCCATAAGCAATAAAGAGTTAATCTCGTGGAAAGGTATGAAATGAAATTGCCTAGGAAAGAATATATGGAATCTATACGTTATGGAATTGATGGGTTTAGTACAGCCCTAGCTGGTCTGTGTATAAGCATAGAGGAATAATGGAAAGACCTCAGAAAACAATGAGGACACTGTGTGATAGCAGAAGTTATAAATTTGTCATGTGTAATACATATGATCAATTAAAATCAGCATAGTCAGCGAAGGAAATGCATGAGAAATGCAGATGCATTTCTGTGCACATTTTTATGTATAAATATATAAAAATATATAAGATCTTTCCCTGAATGTGTGTTTAACGCTGGTATGCCCCGACTCTCAGTCATCTGGACTGATAGCTTTAATAAGGGGATAACCTTGGTTTAAACTCACCATGTATTTGCATGCTTATATGAGCTATATTGCAACAGAAGCTGGCACAGCTGCCAGAAGCAACAACAGTTGATTAAACTATACTTAAGGACAACATATTTTGCTAACACTAACTTAAAAATGGGGAAATTACAGCCCCCTTTTCAGTCCTCACACATACACTTCCGTTTCTGGTTTCTTCCATATTTTAGAACTCTTATTAAATCAAGACAATATTTTCAAATAAAGATATTGATAAGACCAATCCAAGATCAGAAAAAATACATTAGGATTCCAGCCCTTAAGCTTTTATAAGTCTCTTATTAGGCATAGGATAACAGCATAGCAATCTCTGTTCTTAAAATACTAGTTCTGCATTGTAATCTGACTCCATCTGCTGAGTTTCTCTGCAGGGAATTTCACATCATTGTCCTTCCCAAAATAAATTCTTCACCATAAAGTATTCTGCACCCCATTTACTATGTGAGCAATACACTGTCAACTTTGGAGGTACCAATATCCTTCTGCAACAATACAGAAACTATGCACACTTAGAAAGTATCAGAAATAATGGAAGTCATAGATGGGTACAGTAGCCTGCATGTTACACCAGCTGGTAACCAAAGGGCTTTTCAAGAGAAGATCTTTTTTGTTTATGTCTGTGATTGACTGTCCTTTCCATCACACAGGAGCAGATTACAGTGCATGTATGGAAGGAGTGAGGCTAGCTGGCATAAAACAGGTAGGCGTCCTGTGTGGGCTTGAATTATAGTTTTAAAACACAGTAAACGTGCTGCTAACATTTTCTTTCTTAGTAAAAAGCATATGAAGGAATTCGGCTCCCAGTAAGGAATGCATCACTAAGTAAAAATGGAAATCCTAAAATTATCTCTTGTTCAGAAAAAGCTAAAAGATATGTGTTACCATAATCTTTTTTAAGGAGTGGTATTGATTAGAGGGAAAAACAAACAAACCCCAGTGTACAGAAACTGTAGAAGAAACTTCAATATAGCCTCAAACCAAATTTGAAGGGAAAAAATAAATTTCCACCTAAAACATGCATGGAAAATAACACAACAAAGTTCTTAGAAAATCTACCAGGAAAAACTTGGATAAGACAGATATGTCTAAATCATATCTACGAGCAGAAAACCAGGTATTGAGGATCCTATGATTTTCCATCTTTTTGTACCTTTTTGAGTAAAAAATCACCAAGGTCCAGGGTAAAGTTGACGCACAATTTTATTATAACTCTGTGACTGGAACTCTGAATCCGGGGATGAATGCTACGGCATTTTTTCAGCCACCAAAGCTTCAGCAACAGCAATTAGTACGAGGGCCAGAGCTGTTACAAAAATGAGAACAGTGCAGCCATGAAAATTTCTAAAATGTGTGTAATGGGTCTAAAGGACGCTTTTCTTCCCAAGACTTCCCAGCCCCACGCAATCCTCTCTTACGGCTGCAGACTGTGGGGCCTCAAGGGTGTTTTATACAATTCACTTTATTTCACTGTCCAAATGGAATATGTACTGTGTGTTTACATTGGGAGTTAAGTCTTGAGGATTTTATTAGCTACTTCTTTGCCCCTCTTCCCCTTTCAACATGAACTCTGGCATCCATATTTTGCTCCTTATTACCAATAACCTTAGGCTAAACTACCAAACTGAGTAAACCTTTGCATGAGAGTGTCATGCAACAACAAAAGACAGCAAGTCACTAGTCACAAAAGCTTGTCAGGATCATAGAAATGACTGGTAAGGGGGAAAAAAGGCACGTTGTAGTGCATTTCCCACAATGGAAACAGTGTGCACGAGTGCAGTTCATAATAAATATTGTTGCAAAAATATATTAAGTGAAGTTTAGGACATTTGGGAATTGAAAACTGGCAACTAGAAAACGGAAAAGTAAAAAAATAGATGAGAGGAAGAGTTTATCAGGGTTTTTGCCTAAGCCAAGACAACCATATGCTGCACCAGCTAAAAAATCAAAGTGATTTTCAATGTCAGCCTCAGGCAGTGGTAGGTCTAGGCATCTCTGTAGGTGCAACTAAATGGTACTGATGATAGGGAGCAGTAGTTTTAGATCCTCTGAGAAATCTGTGCTCACATAAGGTAGCAAAAGCATAGATAAGAGAGAACAAGAGTGTGGAGAGACCTACATCGGAGAAGGCACAATCTCCTGGCACATCACAGGCGACAGAAGGCATTTCTGGATATTTTTGCTGCAAGACAACCCATCAGCAAAAATTATCTGCTTTGGTAACCGCTAATTGCAGTTTAGGCCTCCATTTAGGGCGCTATTTCCTTGCCTTGCCTTTTCTGATCAATTTTCATCCATCTTTTATTTTTCTTATAGAGGAAAATAAAAACTGTTATGAATAAATCTTTCAGAGGTAGTGAATGTGACTGAATAAAGTGAAGATCAAAAGGATGTATTTTTACCATGGCATCTAATGCTGTTTTTTCCAAAGGAGAATAAATTGAAAAGCATTTCTTTTAAAACACTGTATGCATGACACAGCATATTCAGTTGCATCTCATTTAGTCATGCAACTCCCAGTCAATGTAAAAGCCACGACGCATGGCACACCTTGAAGAGAGTTTCCCACAGAATAAACCCACTGTTAGCATTTTGTCTGCTACTGCACACACATATTTAAGAAAATAAGAAAGGAAGACGAAGGGAGAGCAACAGAGTCAGAGAATGAATGCACTGCATTCCACTGTGTAAATAGCATTATTCACTATTATTTTGCTCATTTCTCTCTTATCAAGTCTTTAAAAAAATGTAACAACTAACCATATATTCACTGGAAAGACAATTTCATTCTGAACTTGCCACAGAAATAGACTTCAAAATATAAAAAAATGTTTTCAATCTATAAATAATATAACTGTAAGTAATATTACTGGGCATCTCTATAGGGGCAACAACAATAGTGCACCTATACAGTGAATCTATGGATGCACCTCTACGGGTGACTGTCATGAACTTGTCCCTACACTTGCATGAGATTAACGTGATCATCTCTACATGTCTATTCATATCATATTTTATCACATTCTACCACCCTTTATCACAAAATTTAAACTACTTCCTCATTAATTCCATATAGCAACTTGTGTAGATAGCTAGTTGCCTCCCGGATAGTCTTTCAAAACATCACCATCTGAGCTGCATAGCTGAAGGGGCAACAGGATCCCTCTGCACATTTCACAGTCAGAAAACTTCCAAAACTGTTAGCAACTACAGGGAGTATTAAATGACTAGTACTGGCTTGTGAAGCACTGGGAAAAGACAGCTTAGGAGAGAAAATGGCAATAAGCTGAAACTAGCACTGGGAAGTTAAAGGCCTCCCAGCCCAGAATGAATTAATTTCTGGTGCCCGCAGGGAAGCCCGAAGTGCCATCTGGCAGCAGGACACAAGCAGTGTGCTTGTGTTGCAAACACGCTGCTCAGGACCACTGCAGAATCACCCATCAGGCAGAGACCCGAAAGGCCCATTTAGTCTATTCCCCTGCTCCAAAGCAGGATCAACGCTCTTTACGTCTTCCCCGGCAAATGCCTATCATTTTGTGAAAGTCTTTCGAACAAAAACCTATTCCAGTGCTTCAGTATCCTTATTACAGTCCACCTTTCTTTGGAGAGAAAATGAGTCTCTCCCCTGTACACTAGCTTTTTGAAAAATGACCATGTTTCCAGTCAGTCTCATCTTTTTTTTTTGACTTAAAAATCCAATGCATTCAGTATTTTCTTGGACATTAGGTTTTTGAGACCTTAAGCTAGTTTTGCTGAGCCTCTCTGACTCCCGTTCTTGCATTGTGGAGAGCCAGGTGAGGGCAATCATTGCTTTCACCACCCACAGTGTGGCAGGACTTGGATAAAGAATCATCCCCTAATTCATAATTAGTAGATCGTGCAAGTGCTGTAGGAGTTTAACAGCCACAAAGACAAGAACAGTAAGTGGCAAGATGCTGTTGTACCATCTAATTCTGTACAGCAAAAAGTCAACATAAACTAGGAAGAAAGGGGAACACACTTCATCATGTGAAATAACAGGTTTGGGGATGCACAGAACCCTGGACCTTAGCAGACCTGCCTTGAATATATTTTTTTTCTTTCTCCTGTCTTCAGAGACTTACAGCCCCAGGCACTCATTTTGAAGGAGAGTGAGTTTCTAAATAAGCAAATAAAGCTAAAACAAAACTGTAATCTGTATATTTCTAAGCACAGAGACATTTCTAATAATAAGGTTTAGAAGTTATATTTTCATTTCAGCCTTCTCTCTCTTTCCTCAGCAGGAAATGCACATTGAGACAATTAAGTAATATGCAATTAGTTATCAAGTGTTTAAAGCATCTTACTCACCCACTGGAGACATTTCTGGGACACTGGCAACATAAGGCCCATCCAGGAACTTTGGCTCATTATCGTTAATGTCCTGCACTTTGATGATGAACTCTGATTCAGGCTCTAGTGGTTTCTTTGTGTCAACATCCACAGCCTGAGCCCGGAGTGTGTAGAAAGGTTTTTCTTCTCGATCTAGGCTCCTTATGGCATGAATGTCTCCTGTGGTCTCATCAATGGTAAAAACCGTACCAGCACCGTCTCCTGAAAGGGTGTATTTAACAGTGCCCACTCCCTTGTCCAAGTCAGAATGAAGCTTGAGAACAAAAAGGAAAAAAAAAAAGGAAGGAAAAGAACATTAATGGCTTTTTCTATGCTGGAAGGCAATTATTATTTTTACTTTTTTTCTCTTATGTAATAAAAGCATTAGAGGAACCAACTTCATAAGTCCTTAACTGCCTCTAAGTGCATGGAAAAAAATGTAGGTAGTATGTTATCTAATATTTTCACTCCCATCTAGTACCCAGCACAGAGAGCATTTCAAAATTCTACCTGCTTTCTCCCATGAATACTGTCCACTACTAAAACTGCAATGAAGCAGGGCTTCGGATTTGTTATAAACTGAAATTTAAGACCAAGGATGGAAAACCACCAACAACCATGTCAAACAAACATGAGATGACATGAGAGAGTGTCAAAAGCTTTCAGAGGCATTTGGCTTTCAGAGAAGTGGAAGAGAAGTATCTAATTTTCATTTCACACACAAGAGCTTGACGGAATCCTAAATTCAAACTCAAAGTCAAACCTGGTTTAAAAAAGACAATATACACCTCTTAATTACAGTAAGTGCTAAACGGACTAAAAATACTACCATTTACACAAATATTTGATTGTTTGTTTCTGTCCTTTCCGAGATAGTCACATTGCTGAGAGTGTGAAGTTGGGAGTTCTCTTCCTCATTGGAAGAATACAGAACTCAATCATTTCTGCCTTAACTCAATTATTTCTGCCTTAAATACCAATATACACATTTTCCAGGCTATTAGTACATTAAATCTCTATTTCTAATTTGAAAATATACTTGAATACAAGTTCTTGGACGTTTTTGGCCATTTGATCAGTGTCTATACTACTATAATGTGGCCTTTAAACACTATTTCAAATGCAGGAATTTTTGAAATTGAAGTACAGGATGATGAACTTCTTTCTCAGATGTCTTTATCTGTTTCATGCTCATCCTTTAAATACATCTAAGTTTTGAATAGGTACTCAAGGTTACATCATTGATGCTGAAATATCTTGTAAAATATTCGCCCACTTGTCCCATCTAATGAGGACTAAAGAGATCTACTATAATGGACACAGGTTGGAATGGAGTTTTCAAGAGTGAATTCCCTTAAGCAGTATAGTAAAGCGATTATGGATATAGGCTTTATTTACATGATGTACTGCCCAAGGTGAAACACAATAGAGGAAACATGGGACATGAAAGGAGATTATGTAGAAAATGAATTACTGAGAAACTAAATGGTTTTGGTAATGGGGCAAGAAGCTAAGCTACAGAGAAAGAGGTAAAGGCAATTATTAACATTTATAGCTATTGCCTTGAAATTGAAAATAGGTCCTTGTGACTGTGGAAGAGGTCATGGTTTGTGGGACAGAGCGAACATGAACACAGTCTCTTCTTTGTCTACTTTTTCATCTCATCATTCCTGCTCAGTGAATATACTAGATTCTGATCTTTCATCTAGCTGCCCCCTGCATGCGATTTTAAATTATCTCTCCAGTCCGAAGTAAAGCATTTTGCTTCCGAGGTGTTAAATATTTCCTTGCTTGCAAAATGAAATGATAACGCAGCCTGAGATAATTAATGTCTATTTCTTCCTCATCATTTTAATTTAAGTGGCTCACAAGCTTCCTGCTGTTCCATTATACCTTGCTCAGTTAAAACTTAGTATTTTCCTTCCATTATCATATAGAGGCTTACAGACACACAAGGAGTGAAAAAAAAAAACCCCACAAAATGATGATGAGAAAGTTCAAAGAAAAAATGTTAGAACCTTATAGAGGGAACCACACCATTTTCTTGCTTGTGTCGCTGTATTAAATAAAATTTGTCTGGGCTTTATTGTGAAGTCTACCTTGTTCCACACTCCTGGAAGTAAGAATATCACAGAGCAAAAGAATGTGGTTTCAAAGCAGGGATTTGTAAACAGGGAAGCGTGCCAAGAATGTTGTCTCTACTTCCATCTCCTGTCATCAGATTTGGCACTAAAGCTGGGATGGTTGAGTGTCTTTCTGATGGCCAGCTGAAGGGTTTATGTTCAACTAGTAACAAATCAGGCTGCACTGCATGTGTTACCCCAGGACTTGGATTATACTAGAGAGAAATAATTAGAGTTGAGGAAAAAGGTAAAAAGTATAGCATGAAAAAAGCAAAACAAGGGCTCCTAAGAGAAAGGAAGAATGAAAAACAAAGACAAGAACAAGCATAGCTTTTTTCAAATCTATTGGAGCAAAAAAGCTTTGTAAGTGGCAGCATTAGCAATTCTACAGTTATAGATGTGTTTACTGTGCTTCACAAATATCCATCAGCTAGTATAACCTAGTAATCATTCTGTTGATTTAAGCAGAGCTGTATTGCTTTGCATTAGCTGGGATCCGTCACATTGTATTTATTCATCAAATCATGCTAATCTGCCGATTTCTATATAGGCTTCTTAGATGCCATTGCTGGACAATGGGCAAATGCATGCTTATTTGTAACCCACATTGAGCTGTGCAATTTCTGGGGCAATTCAACATTACAAAGTGTCTAATTACTGTAGGGGAATAGCTGACTGATTTAATTTAAAATGAACTAAATTCTCCAACAATAAAAGGCATGCAATACTGAGATTCAAATGCAAGGACGGAGAGAGAGGAACTAGTATTGGTTGGAATTGCACAACACTAGAAAATAATCTTGACTTTTCAATGCCTGAAATTTTCCAGAAAGCAGTTTAGGCTAAAGAATAAGTGCTTGCTAGTGTGTCTCTGATTTATATGTTACAAGCTGTATTGCACTGGAAGAAAAGACATTTATTTTTTGTGCTGAAAAACATACAGAAGATTTGTGAGAGACTAGTGCTTCTGACACTGTGTCCTGCAGTAGTTTTGGGTTTGTATTCCATTTCTTCTTCTTGCTTGTACTTATTTTCTAATTCTTGCTCTTCTGCTATTTGAGCAAAACTACAGGGCAAGGGAACAAGTGCTCAAATCTTACCTACCCTCCCCCGCAATGTGTTTGCATTTCAGAATTACTTGAATTTACTGCAACAGGGTGGTACAAATGATTGTATTCATATGGATTTTTCTTCCTGTTACATTTTCTCTGTAAATCCTGAATATTAAAAAAGCCACAAAGGTTTGCAAATTCGAGGGATTCATTTCTACTTTTGCTCAAATCTGTGCTGTTAGTCTCACTACCTAAGTAACTGAGAGTTTGGTGTCAGATCTTTGGGCAAATCTGCCACAAGTGTAAAATTAATGATTTTTTGCAGCAAACTCTGTTAGTGCAGAAAATCATGAATATTCTTCTGTGATGGCAGATAAAGACATATCATCCCATAATTCTTGGTAATATGTGCAAACAATAACACATATGGCAAAGGAAATGACTGATAAAAAATCCAGTATGAATAATAAGATGGACATTATTGTGAAATACATTGCATAAATCTATGCAGAAACTATGACAGTGTTCTTGAATCATATCCAATACCAGATGCCAGACTGAGTCAGTCTACAGCTCCATGTGATCTAGCAATCTGCTTCAGCCTATAACTAGCTGAAAGCCAGTTTGCTTAAGAGAGGATGAAAAAGTTGGTAACAACTCACTACAAGCACACCTGGGAGAAATTATTTATTCAGTTCTTCAGGCAGTTATGTCCAATTCCTAACAAGCAGTATGATTATTTGTATTTTAGCAATAAATTAAGACCTTACTCCTTCAATAACTCAGTGTTATAAAGTCCATGTCACTTCAAGAATTCATACACCTGCACAAATGATTTGATATTACATGAAACTACATGAAAGATCAAGAAATGCATTAGCTAATGTGCTTCAAGAACTGCTATATACTCCTACCTAAATTCAACATGGCAGTAGTACGGATCAGAAGTATTTGTTCCTTGGTGCTCACTTGCTCATCAGTATCCTATGCATCTGATGCTCAACTGTTCATCTTCTCTTTTATTAAACACTTCAATGACTTGCATTAGTAAACTCACAATTACTTGGAAAGTCAAATTTGTAAATTCATAGACATAGGTAAAGAAATCAGAAGCAAAAGAAACTTAACAAATTGCAAAATAATCTAGCCTTAAAATGAAGTAATCACAGAGGATGCAAGAACAAGGGCTATGACATTCACTAGGATTGCTGTGATCTTAGTTTCATAGCAATACAGACATTGAAAAGTTGTTTTATGAATTGACTGGTTCCCCTTCTGAATCTCTCATCCATATACAGTAAAAAAAAAAGGTAGAGAAAGGAAAGAGGAGGAAGTAAAAAAGTTTTAAATGTCAAGGAATGTTTAACATGCCTAAATTGATATATTCACCCTGTGGTATGCTCTGAGATTCTAGGTCTTATTCCATTGCCAATTTCACAGGCTGAAAAAAAATTCACTGTTCAACTTATTTATTGCTAGTAGATCAATTTAAATGCTATATTGCAGTGCATATTTGGACTGAAAACATTGCTAAATGTTCCAAGATATTAACCCTTCCTTGCATGCAGAATGGTACTAGTTATCCATCCCACATCTGTATCTTTACATAATTTTTCATTATGCAATATATTTTAGAACCTTATTCCATTATTTCCTCTGCCTGTATCTACTTCCAAGTACCTCCATTTGCTCTGTAGTTACCAGTTCCTTCCCCTGCCCTTTCTTGGGTAAGATGCGCAATGAAAACTGTTCAAGAATTCAAAATAGCCTGTCAGCTCCAGTATTACCTAAGACTGCAAACCCGGAATGATGTTCTGAACTGAGGAAAGGAAAAAAGGTCACTGTTGTATGGAAATCATAGACACAAGCAGAGCTATTTTGGCAATCCTCTACAGCAAAAGTCAGTGCATTGGAACAGGGATGCCCACTACAGGAGAGGAGGGTATAAATGAGCCTAGAGAAACCTTTGATACTAACCACCTAAGAAGCCTTTCTATTTGGAACATTGCCCTTTTAAAAGATACTTATTCTACGCGTATTTTCTATTGGCAAGAACTCTATGGTCTACACAGATTGCACGGTTCCTTTTAAAAACTGGT